TTTCCGTCCACAGGTCCCCCCCCCCGCCACCCGACCCATCCATTTTTCCCCTCTGAGGTACGGCACAGGGTGGTTGCCACCCCCTTCATCCCTCCAGCCGTTTCGTCCCCCTCGTTTCGGCGTCGGCGTTCGCTACCCCAGAGGGTGGACTAAGGGGGCAAATGAGGGAGAGCGAGGGAGAGATATGTTGGCCAGGGACTAGTGACTGGCATTGGTAAAGGGAAATGCTCGGCAGTGAAGAAAGAGCGAGTTAAAAGCGAGATAACAGCGAGGGTGGAAATGAGAAAGAAGGGGGCAGGGGTGGCTGACGTGTGCGCAGTACGCAACTTTTACGCCGAACTATGGCGGAGCCCCGGAGAGTTGCCTCTGTGCCAGGGATCAATTTCGGAATAACATCCCTTATACCTTCTCGAGCCTTTTACCGGGATCGATATGCTGGGGTCGTTCGGCATCCAGACGAACTATCTCTTTACGGCTCTTGGAGGTGAATAATTAACGCGAAATTCTGTGATCACTGCGCTTCGCGTACGGAAAAATCGTATAGGAGTTTTCTATGCGAATTATTTCTGTACATAATTTTTTACGTAAATTTTTGTTTTCATACGAGAGATGGCTAGACGCTTCGCCAGGTAGGAATTGTATAGGCTGACGATGGAAACAAGCCTGTGCGAGCCTAGGTTTGGCGAGGGTCAGTGACTCAGGCCTGGGACGGGCTTGATTTCATCGTTCACTCGAACCTGAAATGAGGGCGATTCAAGGGGCCATTGCCGAGGTTTAATTCAGGCCTAGTCCAGGCTTTCAGTATTGAGGCTCAGTACGTCGAGGCTTGTTCGAGCCTCTGCAAGGCCTCAAAAATGGAAGTTAGTTTCGATTACATTCCTTAATTTTTATATCGATTAACATTTCTGATGCTAATGAAACACGCGGAGGCGCCAGAAATGTCGAAATAAATTTTTTTTTTTTTCAACTGGGGCCAAAGCGTCATCTTGGATTTTTCAGGGGAAAGGCGACTGTCGCCAAAATCGAATTTTTCCGCCGAGTGAAAGTCGATTCTGTATTTTCTGGCCCGCCTAATGCCACTGAGACCCTCACTTGCCCCAGAAATGCAGAAATAAAAAAATTTTTTTTTTCACCCGGAGCCAAAGTGCCATATTTAGGCTTTTTTCGGGGGGAAAGTCGACTTTCGCCAAAATCGAATTTTTCCGCCGAGTGAAAGTCGATTCTGTATTTTCTGGCCCGCCTAATGCCACTGAGACCCTCACTTGCCCCAGAAATGCAGAAATAAAAAATTTTTTCTTTTCACCCCAGA